AAATTTCATCATGATTTGATCTGATCTGATCAAAATTTTAACACTTAAAGATCGACGATCAGGTGTTGCGTTCTTTTGGGAGACGGTGTATAAGCTTGAACCCTAGATCAATAAGAGCATGGGTAAAGTATTTGCCAGAAGTCATCGATTGCCTAAATAATTATCCAACGCGTCTCATTAAAGCTCCATGTTCTACAAAGTGGGGTTTAGTTCCCAAGCTGGGCTTTTTAATTTTCTTGTACACCTCATCGTCAGAAAAATCTAAAATTCCATTGAGGTATATTGATGACAAACAATCTTTTCCAGATTGTGTATCTCTTTTTTGTTGTGCAGTTAAAACTGCAAGTAAATTATTACGGATATTCATCTCTTCCTAGGAGATTAAGTATAAGTGAGCAAATTAGCATAAATAAAAGATAGCGAAAACAAAAATACCTCCGTAAGAGTCCCGATTTCTTCTACGTCTGAATCGAATTCTTTCAAGTCAGCCTCTATAGGTATTTTTTCTATATTGGTTTCTTCGATAGATGATTCATCAATGGTTGATTGACCAGCGTCAACGATAATATTCTGATTTTCACTTGATTTATTTCGCTTGTGATAGTGAGTTGAGATCTTGCTTCATGTTGACTTGCGCTTTCTAGTCTCTGCTTTGACATCTTCAACAACATATAATCTAGTATAATCTATACGTCATAGGTAGACTTTTCAAGATTATCTAAATATTTTATCTAGAAGGAAGATAACAGATTACTGAAATTGTTTTTTTCCTTATTATACGAAAAATCAGAAATAGCACCTTATTATTGTTGATCTTGTTTCGCCTTTCTAACTCCTCCACACCTCGCTAGAAGTCCTTAACTGCTTTAGTATTTTGTATTTCCTTTTTATGAAAAAATATATATTATTATTAGTGATTGTAAACTCGTTTAATAATAACATGACTATCAGCCGGTATCCATGAACACATCGAACATGATAGTTCATCAACGATTTAACCTAGAATATATCCTGCTCAGATTGTCAAGCGTTGTGATGTGGTATGACATGATAGTCAACTTGGAGATACGTACATGCCTCCAAGCCCACCTTTACCCTACAGAAATGAAAATCTTTTACTTAACTGAAAAGGCTTTCAAAGCGGAAAGTGCTACAGATTGTTGTTGATCCGAGCCACTTCCATCATTCCCAAGGTCCTAATATACGTGTTGTGCTCCCTCATTTTATCTACCGTCCAGTTCTCTTCCTTCTGACGAAAGTCCAGAAAGTTCAAAAGCGACCAATCCCGGCTTTCTGTAAAAAAGTCCATTTTCATTTTTTAAATTTAAGTAATGCGAAAAGAAGTTTGAGGTTACGCAAGATGAAAAACCTATGGTGACAAAAAATACTGAATTATTGTGGAGCGATATTTTTAGAATTCACATGATGAATTTTTTTTTATCATTAAACTATACGATGAATCAAAATCACTTACAAAATTCTGAAATTTACCCCTGCGTTGATATCCCGTATAGTTGGTGCTAAATCTTTTATTAATTATATTCACAATATTATTCCACCACACTACTACCAGGAATGTTATAACACTTCGCATTTCAAAAAAATTGACAGCCAGATAGTTGCGATATAGTGCCACTCAATTGAGATTTCCAAAAAAAAAAAATATTATGTAGTCTTAATTATTGGTCAAATACTCAAAATAAAAAAGCAGTAATATCTATTCTATTCCTAAACTCAAGCCTTGAAAAGTACAAACTCAGCAATACAAGACTTATACTGTAGTTTTTCTAGAAATGGTTAGAAAATGTTTTACCAATATTCTTATCAACAGATTATTAGCTATATATAAACGATATAAGATTATGAAAGATTTCAACCTTGCAGACTTACAAGAAGAAAATATAGCAGACCTATTTATCTTTTAAATAATATATGTAAAAATACCAAAGAAAAGAAAAAAAAGTTATTGATTCTTTTTCAAAACATAATCAAAGTATATAATATAATAAGTCTCTTATATATTAGAAAAAGAAATAGATCAAATTTATATATACTGTATATAATTATCAAAGAACTTATAATAAATCTCTTTAATAATAGAAGTTGTAATATTATCCTTCCCAAATAAACTTTTGAATTCAATAATAGAAGAGATAGTATAATTCAAGAATAAACAATCTCTTAATTACTATGGAGTATTTTCTATGGCTCTCTGTTATATGAAATACTAATTTTGATTACTTTATAGAAAAAGAATAGTTATCATATTTTCATAAACCTGAGGAGAAAATCAAACTTTCTTTAAAACAAGTTAGAATTGTCTATATGTATAATACAATCTAAATTGTCAAATCTAAAAAAGATCTGAAGAAGATTTTGAAAGAGACAAAAAAATTTTATATAATTAATAATTTTCAAATTAATGTTGAAAAATCTATTCTTCTTATCATTAACTAAAATCTTCAAGACTCTGAAACTATTTAATTTGAAATAGAGAGTATTACAGTTCACAAAATTAGTAAAGAAAATTAGGCAAGATTTCTGAATATTTAACTAAAACCAAAATAAAATAGTAGAGATATTATCAATCTAATAAAATTAGAAATTAAATTAGTAATATAGATAATAAACAAAAAAAGGTTAACAGAAAAGTATACACAATATATTATTAATAGAGTTCTAATTTCAAGAATAAAATATAAAATACAATATATACACCTTAGTAAAAAAATATATAATAATCTTACAACTATATACAAAAAAGTATTTAAGGACAAAGCTCTAATCTATAAAATAATATCAAACAGTTATATTTATAATAAAGAAATATATGAATTCAAAAGTATTTAAGAAATAAAATTGAAAAGTTATATATTATATTTATTCTATTAACTTAATAACAATAATATTTTTAAAATTGCTATTATAATTATTTGAAATAAAACTACATTAAATATTGAAAATTAATCAAAATTTTAAAAAATCTTATAGAATTAAATATATTAATCAAGGAAAACTTTGCAGTAGCAATATTAACCCTTGTTAAAAAACTGTAAATTATATTTCAAAACTAAAAATAAAAGAATACATTCAGTTATTAGAAAGGTATACTATCTATCAAATTCATTTTATAGAATAAAAAAGCTATTTTATTTTTACATAAACATAAAATCATATTCTTAAACTAACTTATCAACACTATTATAATAACACTTAAAGATTGAAAAATTATTTTGATCTTCTTTGGTAAATATAAATAATTGGTTTTTTTCTAATATAAGAATATCCTAAAAGAAGTAACAAAAAGTCAGAACCTGTTATACAAATCATTTCAAAATACATTAATTGAATAAGCTATAACTTATAAATAGAAATAGCATCAATAAATATTGATAAAAGAAAAACATATTGAATAGTATATTTTATTATCTCAACTAGTATATTAAAAAAAATTATATTTTTAAATAGCAAAGCTTAATTTATATCATATCAATTCTTATATAACTTCATTAATAACTATTCTTCCTTATATTTAGAAACAATAGTTTAATTAGTTAAGATAATTTTTTCTTAAGTTTGTTTTCTTTTACAATTAAATAGTGTCAACTTATCCAATAATCTCCAAATCAGATAGATAGATGGGGCAACTATAGCAGTAATCCATTTTAAGTTGAGGGAGAATATCTCAGTTGTGATATACTAAAGTTGATAATTCAAGAATAGTAAAGATTACACAAACATGTTGAAAGAGGCTTTGAGTGATTTGGTTTAATTAGAAGATTTATTAGAGATATATAATGTCAAGAATAAGAGGATTCAGTAGGTAAAACCTTGGATTAACTGCTTTAGACAGTTGGCCTTTATATACATAATTGAATATTAATTATTTGATGATTAAAGTGACCAAAGTAACCAAAGTGATCAAAGTGATCAAAGTAATCAAATCTATCAGATTTGTCAAATTAGGCCAATATGCCAGATCTGTTCACTTGGGTAACCTGCTAGTTAAATATAGATAACATCTGAAAATTAAATAATAAAATTAAATAATGCGTACTACATCAATCACTACTTTGCTCTAATGATTGGATCTATACTATGAACCAATGTGACACACTTTGCATTATATGTGCTACATGATCTAAAAATAGAACTAAAG